GAAGAATTTTATAGTCTTACTTTGGGACCAAAAGAGTGACCTCTCCCTTGGGTGGTTCATGGGTGGTATCTTTTGCAGTGTTCTTATGTATTTTCCCAGGCTGAAAGAGTTCATCTCATTTCTACTAATTGGGGTAACTGCAGCCATACCATCATTGATCTCAACCCACCTTATTATTTCACTCTCCTTTTTCCTCTTATTTCAAACTTAAGTGCTTATTTACCTCAAACTAAAGGGAAAAAAAATCAAAGAACAAACTATTTTCTCCAGAAGATGCTATATTTCCACTGTCTGAGCTCTAAAAGTTGACTAGCATAGTCTCCTAAAAGGTGGAATAAAAGCTGAAATATATTTGTTATTAGGATATGATAAGAAATCCTAGCCTGACGATAGGCATTGTGGCTGAAGAAACCACTTGTGTAGGCATAATGAAGAGGGTATATGAAGATAGAAGAGGAGTTCTAAGCCCAGAACTTCAAAAATGTGGCATAATAAATCTTTTCACTGAGAAAGTGTCTATTCTATTAGATATATGATTTAATAATGAATTAGGAAAATTGTCACATAAGCTAACATAAAATAGAATTACAAAGTCTATTTGAGTAATTAGAGTTATATCATTCCATTTCTCCTTAAAGCCTATTATGAGTAATTGACATTTTAAGGCTTACATAGGAACACATGTATCTCCAAAAGAAGAGAAAATGGAAGAGAACTTACTAAATTTTTGCTGGTATGTGCTAGGTAGTATTTCCTTTAATCCTTGGGACACCTTAATATGTAGGTGATATTATTCTGGTTTTATAAACTCAGATCTGTTAAATATCCTTTCCCAAGGATACACAATTAAAAGTGCAATCTACATTCTAGCTCAATCCAAGGCCATATGTTCTACTCCAAAAATGTCATTCCATCTCTATAAGCTAAAAAAAGGAGGGGGGGGCAATGTGTGTATAGATAGTATCAAGAGAGGAATTATTTCACTGAGTGCAGAATTGGTATCATAAAGAAAACGCTACAGAGCATGAAAATGAGAAAAAGTGACATATAAAGAAATCAGCAGTAATACATTTGGGTAGAAAATCTGCTTTTAATATAAACTTCAACTTGATTTAGTTAAATTTACACTGTGTTCCAAATTGTTATCTACATGCAAAGTCATCCAGAAAATTAAGGGAGGCATACATGATAAACATAAAAATTAAAATTTTGACAGAACAAAATAAATAACATTTAGTAATTACATTAAACATGTTTTAAATCCCATAGTTAGATATTAAAAATAGAACAACTGTCCAAACAGGCTTCCAAATTTCTTAAAAATGAGTTGTTTTGAAATGTTGACTAAATATCCCAAAACTATATATCAACTTCAGTATCATTAAACATTCTTCAAACCAAAAACATGGCTTTTCTTTATATTATTAAACATATGTTATATGTTACTTTCTCCTTCATATTAGGACACAAAGGATTATCCATTTGTTAACATTTAAAATAATTTTCAGAGAGTTTCTACTAGCTAATCAAGGCTTCATAATTTATAAGTTTCTTCCACATATTTAATCCCAAAAATTAACCTATTAGGGAAAATTTATTCTTAATGTTCCTATTTTACATTGTCAGTATTCAACACATATTTATTTAATAAATATTTATATATTCACTATTGATTTACTTAAAAAATATTTACTGAATGAATTGAACAAATGAAGGAATGAATAAATTTAGTTCATATTATTTAAGTGACCTTTGAAGATCACTTGAGAAATGGCCAAGCCTGAGTCTCTATCTTCTGATTATTCAGGGAGGCCACAATGTCTAGAAACATAGACATATATATGTAATAAGTGGTTTATCAGTCTACACAACAGAACATGAAATGTTCAATGGCATTTCATATGTTCAGTGTGTTGTTCCTCTGTTGTAATGATAATTTAGTCAGAGTTGCAATGAACATAGAGCATTAATGCAGCATTTACATCAATCCCTTCATATGTATTTGTGATCACTGCCTCAGGTGATTTGTGTTGCTGTTTTTTACTATAGACCTGGACCTATAACATTCAAGAAGAAAGTAAGCAGGTTCTAATCTGTAAACAAAAATATTACCTTTATTTCTAGAATTCATGGCTACTCTCTTGCTTGCCCTTTCTTCCCCCGACCAAAGGTGCTTCATTTCTTAACCCCCCTCAGTATGGGTAATAATGGGCCATCCCCTGTATAAGTAGTCCTGCTTCACAGAGGGAAGCAGCGTAAGGCTGGATACGTAAGTCAGTTGCTACACAAGACCAAGTGTTATGCTAAAGTTCAATTGAGAAACTTGAGATCAGTTAATTCTGTCTTTTATTTCTCTTATCCTTGGCCACTTTGTCTTGCCCCACTGTCCCTATCAAAATAAAATCTCCTCATATGTTTATTTTCTTAAGCACTGTGGATCTATTTCCCAGATCTTTCCACTGGGCCCTATGGAACTGGAATTTTATTTGCAAACTGTCAGTCAAAGAACACTCTTCATGCCCCCCCCCCTTTCTTTTACCTTATTTGAAATGGTTTCTAGAAAAGCTGCTACCCTTACCTTTATCAGGAGAAGCTGCTCCTCTTTCAATTGCCAAGTGTCAAATACCATGAGGTAGCATTAACATTCTACCTGAAATTCTCCTTTTTGGGCTCACACCATTTGTCTGGCTGTCCTGTTTCTTTCCTTGTCACTATAATCTTACCAATCACTCCTATTTCATGTGGGGTGTTTATATTTGATTCATTGCTTTTCTCTCTGCCCCAATCTTATCATTAAGAAAATTTAACTCCAACTTGGGAGACTTATCCAATGTTTTACTATTATAATTCTTTGGCCCTCTCAAATGTAGTGATCTTCTGAAGTAATGCATTTTTTTTTTTTTGGTCAAATGTGAAATAGCATCCAACTCTAACATCTTATATTTCTATAATCCATTCTCTGTCCCAAACCTTCTGCCCTTAAGGCTATCTATTTTCTACTAAACCTACACTTCAGTCTAATTTTGTACCTAGAAACTTCACTACTTTTTCAAGTATATCCAACCACAGCTGGCTTCATCCTTCACCCAAAGTCCATGCTACACAGAATAGTGATACACAAAGTGTGGTCCACAAACCAGCCGCATCAGCATTAGCATCAGCATCACTTTGGAAATTGTAAGAAATGCAGTTCCTTGGACCCCACTCCACAACTGCTAAGTCAGAAACTCTAATAGTGAAGTCTGGCAACCTGTGTTTAAAAAAACCCTCCAGATGATTCTAATATGCTTAAAATTTGAGAACCACTAATACAAAGCATTAATTCAATTGCTCTCTTGCAAGCACCTTTAATATCTTTGGGTGGTAAAGAACATTTAAATATGAATGCATCATTATTTCATTCAAACCCTTCCCTGTTTAAGATTTCTAAAAGTTTATCAAGTTCTCCAGCTTTATTCAGCATCCACTTGCCACATACAATCATCGCTTTCAGTCCATATTTCTTTTTGTAGTTCCTATTTATCTAAATTTGAATATTGCAACACTGTCAAATATCCACTACTTAATGATACTTGCAAAGGTGTTTCCCTTATAGTCTTCCTCTGAGAGGGATGCTGAGCTAACTTGCTCAAAGTCACGTACATAGGAAGGGATGGAATCAGAATTTGAACTCAGGTTTGAGTACAAAACCCATGCTTTTTCAATTTTGTTGCTGAATTATTTGAAACAGCAGTTGCATTGATATAAGTCTTTGACTCTGGTTGAAACAGAACTTACCAATGGATGTCTACAGATTTTTAAAAAATGAGTTATATAAAAATCTAGTATCAAATAACTTTGATAAATATCATTACATAGTTTTATTTATTTAGTACCTAAATTTATTTACTTAATTTTGATAAATATCAAGTTACAGAAGACTTTTAAGAGCCTTTATTTAATATGCTGGTGTGTATTTTGATCCTCCAAAAAGCAGATATGGTATGTTGCTGTCCAAAATTCTTTTTTTTTTAAGATTTTATTTATTTATTTCTCAGAGAGAGAGCACAAGCAGGGGGAGTGTTAGGCAGAGGGAGAAGCAGGCTCCCTGCTGAGCAAGGAACCCGATGCAGGACTTGATCCCAGGACCCTGGGATCATGACCTGAGCCGAAGGCAGTTGCTTAACCAGCTGAGCCCCCCAGGCGTCCCTGTCCAAAATTCTTTGACCAAAGAACCATATTTTGTGAATCATTCATATTAACACCATGCAGGACGAGCATTCCAAGATTTGCTTTGGAAAACTTGGGCTTACTCTATTTCCTTTCTCTTCAAGAATGTGGAATTGCTTATCTCCCTTTGGTCCTCTAGTTCATCTGCTTTTTATCCTCCATTCTATTTCCCCATTCTTTTAAAGTAGAATATTCCTGCCCCTTTGTCCCATTAAGTACTGCCCTCCTGCCAGGGATGCATTCAGAGGAATTACATTTAGCATGTAATGTTATGTGCCAGGCATTATGAATAGAGTGTATATGTATTTATATGCACTACTTTTATAAATCTGCTAATAACTTTGTGATGATGACATTAAATTGCAAATATGATAGCATCACCATTCTGTGATGCATATATATCTAATCCCGCCTAAGTTGTGTTAGGGTAGCCACCTGAACAGTGTTACTTTCTTGTCTAACCCATGCTGGACATAAGAATTACGAATATGATTTATGGGAGATCTTCTTAAAGTCTATATATATATATTCAAAACACTAGCTGGAGGGCATTTTGTCCTAGATTTTATTTAAAAATCAACAGAAGCTTGAATTGAAAATGGAATAAGAATATACACACCATTAGGCAGTTAACTTGTATCTAATTGCAGCTCATTATATACTCTAAGTGTAGTTTTTCATATTAATTTCAATTAATCTTCACTAGAAATTGTTTAACCTGCTAGGGAATTATGTTTAATAGATTTTTTTTCCTGGTCCAGCATATTATCTCTTTTTCTTTCACTGTGCAGGTTCTGCTGATCTTCTCCTTTGTGTTCCATGCTCTTCTTGTCCTACCCTGGTCTACTCTGGTATGTTTGCTCAGGGCACTTAATACCAATGTCAGGTAATTATGGGTACTATCTACAACTGCTCCAAGTTCAGATTTTTTTAATGCGTAGTTCTCATGACCTCTAATGAAAAAGACATTTCCTTCCTACTGGGCATAATGTTTCCTTTCTCTTTTTGTGGTGTTCTATGGATCTCAGGCTTCTCATTGAGTCTGTATTCTCCCATGCTGAGGAAGTAGGATGGGAATTTAAATCCCTTCTCCTTGGCAGGAAAATCACTTTTGGATAGAATTGAGATTAAAACATTTCCCCACTCTGTGAAGACCATGGACTTTATGACACCATTAAATATATCTTAGAGATACAGAATATCAGAACAATTTTACATCCATAGACATGAGGCTACTATATGAACTGGGTATACAACATGAATAATTCATAGTTTCTTCTCTCAAGTGTGTCACAGAGATAAGCAAAAGGTTGAGTTTGTCCTTAGCTTTCACAGAATCACAGAATATCAAAATTAGAATTTTGGAACCATCTACTTCTCTTCCAATCTGATGCTGGTATCTTCTCTGCAATGCCCCTACGAAATAGACATTCAGTCTTCAATATCTTGAGTAATGGGAAGCATTCTACCTCCTGTGACTTCTCATTCCATTTTATTCTGGTCTAATTGCTCATTAACCTAATAATTCTATATTAATAAGTCACCTAAAGAAATAATTTCTGCAATGCCTTGCTGTGTAGTTATCAGAATATTATGTTCATTGCACATATTTTATAATAAAACAAAAAAATGTTTTATATTAAAACATGGAAAACATGAAAAGATGTGAACAAGCCAATTACCAATAAAAGAGAATTGATTAAAAAAGTATAGCAATCTATATAATAGAATACTGTTGTACATCTTATGAAGGATGAGATATATATTCACTGGATAAATACATGTATTTATACTGATATTAACTGGATCTATATATCTCTCTATATATTCTGATGTGGAAATATTCTTGTAATAATGTTACATTAAAAAGGGAGTTACCAAACAGTATATTAAATAAATTGTTTTTTTGTCATATACAATGCATAAGACACATACACAATCATATATGTACATCTTCAGAATACTGTCTGGATGGTTACAAACAAAAATGTCTTGAAAAGATATCTGCATCCCCATGTTCTGTGCACTATTTACAATAGCCAAGATATGGAAAAAAACCTGTGTCCATCGACAGATAAATGGATAAAGAAAATGCAATATACAGATACAGCCATAAAGAATAAAATTTTGCCATTTGCAACAACATGGATGGAACTTGAGGAGATTTTGCTAATTGAAATAAGTCAGACACAGAAAAACAAATAACATCTGATCTCACTTATATGTGTAATCTAAACAACAAAAACCAAGCTCAAAAGTACAGAAAACAGATTGGTGGTTGCCAGAGGCAGGGATTGGGCAAAATAGGTGAAGGTGGTCAAAAAAGCACAAACTTCCAATCATGAAATAAAGAAGTCATGGGGATGTAACATACAGTATGGTGACAAAAGCAGACAAGTAAGTAAACAGTTTGCTTAAGTTGTACAAAATGTTTAAAACCTACTTCAAATGAAATCATTCTCTTTTGCTCCAAAATCTGAATCCTTGTAGCTACCTTCTTTCTGGTTCTTTTTGATTCACAGACAAAAATTTTCTCCCTCTTCCACATCATAATTCTACCATCGTAGGAACACACAGATCGTGTTGTTCTCTTCTTTGGTCCTTTGCATGTTTTTTGTATAACATGTAGGTATACAGCCCTTCTATCCAAGAGATCTAAATAAGTAAATCATTCATTTGATTCATATTCAATAAAGACCTAAAATAAAACAGAAACTATGCTAGAGAATAACATGTCACTATCACATGTGACATAAGCTTACTAAATGATGAAGTCACACATTGAACATGATTTACATAAAACACTGCAGATTATCCTGAGGTAAACATTAGGGTGAGATAAGTGCATGCCTCAGAGAATTCTACCTTGACTAGTAGTCAAAGGGCCTAGAGAAAGTGATATTGAAGACCAAGTCCTAAAGAAGTAGGAGTTAGTTAGATAAAGGAGTTAGCTGGGATTGTTTGGGGTAAGCAAAGTTTTCCAGATAAGGGAAAAGTTATGTGCAAAAATAACTGGATTCCCTTCTTTCCTCTTTTTCTCCCTTTATCCTCTTCCTCTTTCCCATCAAACAAATACTTATTGAGCAAACAGCATGTGCAAAGTATTCTTTCAGGTCCTGTAAGTAAGTTGGAGATTTATATTTTTCTTTCAAAGTATTTATGGTCTAGTAGATGAATCGGAAATATTAAATATAATAAATTATATTAATATATTAATTAAATATTAAATATTTAATACAAATATTAAATATAACAAAGCAGGAAAAAAACAGATAAAATATTCTAGGAGCATGGATCTTTCCCCTTGCCATCATAATCAGATTCCTCTAGGAAAAAAATAAAGGAATTCTTTTCAGTCAAGCAGTATGGGCGCATAGTTCCAGTGCTGATGTAAGGACTTGTATGGTCTGATCTAGCTTATGCCACTCTAGCTTCCTAAATTAAGCTTTCATAATTCCTTCCAAGATAGTAATTGTGTACATCCCTTGCAAGTATTCTCATTGGCTATATTTCTCCCTTGGCTCCCTCCTATAGGAAGGGAGGGAAGCCAGTCTTTTTCAACAGTCCAAGATATCTGTAGAATATCTAATTCTAATTAAATATACAAAAAGGGTTTATACAGATACCAGAAATTGACATCCTGGCAACAAAATACAGTTGATAGAAGTGGTATCCTAAGGTCAGTGCCATTGTAAAAGTTTATACATGGTATAGGAAAGCATTAAGGTCCCAAACTTTCTTTTAATATACTGACTATAGAGGTATTATTGAGCACATTTTCTTTTGTTTTTTTCTCCCCTACAGGTCTGTGAAGCAGGCAGAAGTTGCAGGTGGTCCTTAAAGAAATTGCAGTTATTCAAATCCTTATGTATAGTTCTAATTTTATTTACTATGTGTCATCATTTAGAGAATGGTTATTTTTATAATATCAATAATAAACAAGTACTCTTGTAACCAGGGGGTGCCTAAATGTGTAATCAGAGAACACTAACCCTGGCAAAGGATTCTGGAGTGGTCAGGATGTCTGCTGCCTTTTGACATGGTTAGTGTCCTGGGTTTAGATTACTTTATACCTAGTTATTAGGATTACTATTTGATACATTAAATATTGCCTGATTCAAATAAATTTGCTTAAAATTTTCTGTATTTTAACTTGTGTAGGGTTTTCTACTTCTTATATTTTTATAATATTTTCTCATTTTTTAGATTAATAAACATTATACTTACCCACATGTGCCAAGATGTGCCATTTAGGTCTCTCTGGGAGTTAGCTGTTTGGTATCATAACCTGCCATGTGTGTTTTGTACAGCAGCGAGAGACATATTCTCTACCACTGCTCCTTCCTATGATCATCTTCCGTGTTCCTATCAAAACAAATAATTGATATGTTAATTCAATAAAGCAGATCAATAAGGAATGAAATGCATGCCCCAAAGCATATGCAATGAATATTGTTTGACTACTTATCCAATTACTGAACTCAACGTTATCCATTTTGCATTTAATATATGCTCGCTTTTGGAATATATTATGCACTGATGCTAAGTGAATGGATCTAAGTAAATCTATTGAGTATCTCTATTGTCTGTTTTATCTTATTTGTCTTAATCTAAGTTTGCTTTCTGGACCTTTAAGGCATATGGTTAAATTATAAAATTGCCTGTATTACTGTCAAAGAAACAATATTAAAGGCCAGAACATGGCTAAAGAATAAACAAAGAAATTCTGATTGTATGAATGACATTATATTCTTAAATTAAATAATATAATACATTTTCTTCCCATAAAACTTTCATATGTACAGAAACTTGAGACTGATTTTCATACAATTTATTGGTTTTTATAGGTAGAAACAAATTAAAGGCTTAGAAAATAGTATATTTTGAGCAGAAAAGAGAGAAGTCAAGAGAAAGCTTATGGGACCAGCACCCTCCTCTACTTAAAAGTCCTTATGATTAGGAATATCTTCAAAAATGTTTTCCCTATTAGGAATAGTCTTTCTTTAAAACATGTCATCTCTGATGCCTTCATCTGAGCTGTATTTTCCTCCAACCTTCACTTGGTCAGTGTTTGTCTGCCTCTTGCCCACTGACATTTTCATGGAGACAGTCACTCTCCTAAGTGCCACACCAACCTCAGGAATCAGATTGACCAGGATATCAGAGTGTATGTTGCTGACAAGGCCACCAAAGACATACAAAGCTGGACACTACTTATTAAAGTAGTAAGGATAGATTTTAATCAGTGATAAACTATTGCAATAGAGAAGAGGGTCCAGCATGAACTGACCTCAACTTTGATTTGTGCAGAGGTGACTGCACGTTTCAAAGGAAGAGAGAGGCAGTAAGGATGGGAATTGCCAGAGCTTGAGGAGAGGAAGGGAAATGGAAATTTATAAAAAACAGGTAAGGGCATTGACTCATGTGAAACTCATTTGGGTTTGCTTATTGAAGTTTGACTTCTGTCCTTCCACAGAGACTGGAAGACAGGGGCTCTATCTTCACATGTTGGCAGGAACAAACAGTAAATTCTTTGGCAGCCTTCCACTTTCTCAGGAAGGAACTTAAGGGAGCTGCAACCATCATCCTGGAAATTCTGCCTTGATTGTTAGAAAATATGTTTGTGTTTGTTCATATCTTCTAATGTGGGAGTGGGTTGGAGTGGATGAATCAATTTGGGCTCAGAGTCTGCAGTTTTTTGTTTTGTTTTGTTTTTTTTTTTAAGATTTTTTTATTTATTTTTTGAGAGAGAGAGAGAATGGTAGAGAGAGAGCATGAGAGGGAGGAAGGTCAGAGGGAGAAGCAGACTCCCTGCCGAGCAGGGAGCCCGATGCGGGACTCGATCCCGGGACTCCAGGATCATGACCTGAGCCGAAGGCAGTCGCCCAACCAACTGAGCCACCCAGGCGCCCCAGAGTCTGCAGTTTTTATAGGCTGAGGTTGAGGCCTGGTCAAGAAGAGAGCTTAGGGGAACCAGGCTAGAATTTGGTCAAGAAGAGAATCTTCATCAATGCTGGCCACACACACACACACACACACACACACACACACACACACACACACACCACGGTCTCTGCCCTGTCTTCTTTGTCAACCGCTATAATCACTTTTGGAGTCCAAGGACAGAGGGCAAGGCCAGTAAACAGCTAGAGCCCAAATCAGGAGATTTCTCCAGGTTGCTTTTCTATCTCCTCTTTCAAATGTCATACATGAACTCTGAATCTCCTGGCACTCACCTTGACTCCCATTACTCTTTTTGCTTTACCTTTCTTTCTTTCTTTCTTCTTTCTCTTTCTTTCTTTCTTCTTTCTCTTTCTTTCTTTCTTTCTTTCTTTCTTTCTTTCTTTCTTTCTTTCTTTCTTTCTTTCTTTCTTTCTTTCTTCCTTCCTTCCTTCCTTCCTTCCTTCCTTCCTT